GAGCCGCTGCGCACAGCCACCGCGCTGCACGGGAGCGGGGCGCTCGGGCATGCTCCCCCGGGAGCAGCCGTGCAACCCTGCGGGCTGGGTCCTGTGTCCCCGGAGCTGGGTGCGCGCTGCACGCCCCGGGGAGCCAGATGCACGGCCACGCACCCAGGGGGTTGGGTGCCCAGATGAGGGGAGCTGGGTGCACGGTCACGCACCCCAGGAGCTGGGTGCCACGTTCAGCGCCGCAGCCCGAGCTGAGCCCTGGCTGGGAAGGCGCTGGGCACAGCCGGTGGCGAGGGCAGCATGGCCGGTGGCCGCAGGGCAGCGGGCAGCACCCGGGGCAGTGCTGGTAACCGCCAGCCCCTAACAGGAAGCATCGGCCCATGACATTCTCCGCATTCTTTGGCTTCCCCGCGTTTGTTTTCCGAACACACTTAATAAACTGGCATCCAGCTGACACGCTGCCGACCTGCTCCCCACCTCGGCGGGCTCCGCTCTCTTCCCTGGGCTCCCTTCAGCGCTCTGGGGGCTCTTCCCCCCGTCACAGACCCAGACCCCAGATGTGCCACAGGAGCTGCAGCCACTCAAGACACCGCTGCCCACGCCATAGCCCCCGAACTGCGGGCAGGATGGGCCCGAGGGCCCCCAAACATATGTGTCCAGATGAGTTTTGCTGGGCACAGCCCCTCGAGGGAGCCGGGATGGGCTGTGGGTGCCCAAACCGTCCCCGAGCATCCTCAGAGCAGGGACTCGGCCCCTCTGCCCAGCCGCATCGACCCTCATCGCTGGGACCCAGAGGGATTCACTCGCATAAATAGAACGCTTGTCAACGCCGAGCCGTGAGGCTCTGCATTAACACCATGTCTGTGAGACCCAGGGATGGAAATTACCGCTGCAAAAGCCCCGGGCTGCATCCCCCCACCGAGAATGGATCCAAGAAAGGGCGGTGCACGGCACCCACACCGGCATCTCACTCCCAGCCTGGTCCTGAGCACCCACCGCACCGCAGCCGGGCTGGGAATCGAGGCTGTGGAAGTAAATGGGCGTGGGGAACGGCACCCCAGAGCCCTGCCTCGCGCAGCCGAATCCGGCCCTGAGTGGATTTTGCCGGCCTTGCTCAGGCTTTAAGAGAGATGCTGGAGAACGGCACGGCCCCGTAATGTGCTGCGGGCACGGCCTGAGTGCCCGGCAAGGCGTTTTGTGGGCGAGCAAGCTTCTCCCACGTCCGGGAAGGCCATTAGCACGCGGCCACGCCACGGGGCAGGGGGGTGCCGGGGCAGGGGGTGCTGCGGGTGCCTCTGGAGCCCCTTGTTCCCATGGCTGGCGCCAGCCGGCGGACCCGCCACTC